TCTAAAATCATCAATCAACTATCTGTGTATCTAACTATGAATCTATGTTATCATCTATCTATCTATCTGTCTATCATCTATCTATATCTATCTATCTATCTCTATCTATATCTATCTATCATCTATCATCTTTCTATCTATCATCTATCATCTATCTATCTCTATCTATCTATCTATCTATCTATCTATATCTATATCTATCATCTATCTATCATCTATCTATCTGAAACAAACCTTGGTCCAGCGCCGTGATGTAGCCGTTTTGTTCTTTACTGTTTTACACAGTTTCTCATAGGAATTACTCTGGAGAAATTGTCAAGATTCACTCTGACAGAATCATGTTTTTAGCCTGCTATAAGGAAGGGATGGAATGCTTCAAAGCAGGGGGACTGTCATCGGCAGCCTTCAGAAAAGAAGTGAAAAAATATGTGGTGTCCTGAATTTCAGTGGACCAATGATTCTTAAGCCATGTGGCTGAAAGAAACACATGATATTGATTATCAGTAATGGTTAGGAACCCTAATTAATTTCTTGTCCTTACACTCAGAAGTTAGTTGTAATGATCCTAATTTTTTTCTTTGGTTCAACCCAGTTTGGGTTTTTTGAGACAAGGACTTTCATTTTGTGGTCCAGGCTGGCCCTGAACTTACAATGTAGCCCCAGTTAAGTTGCGTCCAACTCTCAGGGCTCCTCTCACTTCAGCCCTCTTTGTGCTGGGATTGCAGGCATGAGCAATGTCTGCTAATGATGCTTTCTTCAGCTACCACTTCTGACCCAGTCTACTTCTCCCCTGCTAGATACTTCCCCTGAAACTCTCCCAGGTGCCCGTACCAATGGTTTCTTGGCAACTGTGCAGCAAGACTGATCGTCATGCTCGTTTTAACTGAAGCAGCAGAACCTAAATTAAGTTGCTCAAACCAAAGTCAGTGATACATCCCTGAGTGGAGTTTTGAACTCAGAAGGCCTGATTTCTATCTTTCTGTGACCGAAGCCCGTAAAAAAAACCTGTCAGCAGCATCAGGGACAGAGACACAATTCCATGGAGTCACCCTTGGCAGCCTGAGGGTCTCCCTTACTTAGGGATCTTGACTCAGGTAAAACCTGATCCTTGACGTCAATGCAGAAAAGAATTTCAGGAAGAGCCAGTGTGAAGCAGAATTGGAGTTTACTAAAAACAGAAAGTTGGGTGTGGTGGCTCAGGCCTTTAATCCCAGCACTTGGGAGGCAGAGGCAGGCGGATCTCTATGAGTTCAAGGCCAGCTGGTCTACATAGAGAGTTCCAGGCCACCTGGGGCTACAGGGAGACCCTGTCTCAAAAAGACTCCCCTCCCAAAAAATAAACAGAAAGTCATTCAGGGAAGAGTATGATGTAGATGAGGAGAGAGAGAGAGAGAGAGAGAGAGAGAGAGAGAGAGAGAGAGAGACACCTGGGAGATGCCTCAGCAGGTAAAAAAGCGCTTGCCTAGTAAGCTGGGTTGATCCCTGGAACCACTGTGGAAGCAGAAACCACACTCACAAAAGTTGTCCTCTGCCTTCCACATGCAGCAGTAAATAAATAAACGTTTTTTTTTAAAAAAACATAAAACTTCTCAGGTGCGTCACGGGAGGGTACAGAAGCCATCCCCTTCCTTCTTTGCTGCCAGATGACGTTGCTTCTCCCCCACCGTGCAGAACTCTGACCTGGCCCCGCCTTCCCAGCCTGTAGTGCTGCACTGCCAACGCCCATCACCTTGTGAGACCTCTTCCTCAGCAGACACCTTCTCTAAGCCCGTTCTTTCCTCTGTTCTGAGACTCTGCGCCCCGATTGCTCCTGCAGAAACACCTGCTGTGGCCATCTCAAGCTCAGAAAACTTTCATCTACAACTTCTGAGCTCCTTATATCTCCTTTCAGTTCTCTCTGGTTCCAGGGACAGTGACAGAGCAGCTGGCTTTGCAGCCCAGGTTCCAGCCACCTGCAGGGCTGTAAGGACCCACACCACGAGGTCAAAGCTCTATGAGCCACGGTAGGCACTTCCGTGTCGGAGCCAGGAGTTACGCTTTACAATATCATTATTATATCTGCCTCTGTACACACAGATACACATGTACACACACACACACACACACACACACACACACACACACACAAAGCCTTCCACTCCCAGTACCGCCAAAGGTCAGCCGTGCTCTCCGTTTTACATTCCTTCCCATTTCAGTCTGCCACAGGGGAGGTGGATCATAGGAGAGAATCCAGTGTTGTACACGCTGGGCAAACTCTCTCCTGCTGAGCCACGTCGGTGTTTGACACAAGGTCTTAGTTTCTTTCCCTTGTTGCTGTGATGAAAAATAGCTTAAAGGCTCCCAGTACCGCCAAAGGTCAGCCGTGCTCTCCGTTTTACATTCCTTCCCATTTCAGTCTGCCACAGGGGAGGTGGATCATAGGAGAGAATCCAGTGTTGTACACGCTGGGCAAACTCTCTCCTGCTGAGCCACGTCGGTGTTTGACACAAGGTCTTAGTTTCTTTCCCTTGTTGCTGTGATGAAAAATAGCTTAAAGGGAAAAGAGTGTGTTCGGCTCAGAGTTCCAGTTCGCAGTCTGTCCTAGTTTGCTTCTCCATTGCTGTGACAAAACACTCTGACCGCTACCACCTTGGGGAGGAAAGGGTTTATTTGTCTTACATCTCCCAGGTCACAGTTCATTAGGGAGCCCAAGGTAGGAACTCAGGGCAGGAACCTGGAGGCAGGAGCTGGAGCTCCATGGGAGGCCATGGAGGAATGCTGCTTACTGACTTACTTTCCTAGCCCCTGCTCAGCCTGCATTCTATGTGACACAGGCCCATCTGCCCAGGGGTAGCACCACCCACAGTGGGCTGGGCCCTCCCACATCACTCATCAATCAAAAAGACGCCCCATGGACATGGCCAGAGGCCAGTCCAATGCAGGTAATTCCCCAACCCAGGTGTATCAAGTTGGCACTAAAGCATCCAGCACACAGTCTGTTGTGGCAGGGAACTCAGCAGCAGGAGCCAGAGGGAGTTGGTCCTGTAGCATCCATAATCAGGAGCAGAGAGTACTGAATGCTTACATGCTAGTGCTCGGCTCCCTTGCTCGCTCTTAATACAGTCCACACAGTCCGGAATCCCGAGCAGGGAACGGCACCACCCACAGTGAGCTGGTCTTCCCACCCCAATTAATGTGGTCAAGATAACCCCCAGAGACCCTTCCCTCAGGCGATACTAGCTTTTTGTCAAGTTCACAATTCACACTATCCGGGTGTCTCTCTAACCTGACTGGCCTTAACCTTTTTGTTTGTGTTTCAAACGACTTCCTGCTGTATCGCCCACACCCTCGATCACTTCTACATCACCTCACTTTGCCCAGTGGAGGGATTTCCTGGGTAGCAACTGTTCTTGAATGATAACTGACTTGAATGAGGGCTATAGTTGGCCTTGAATGTTTACTGTGCAAATAGGATTCCCTGTAGTTTCCAGGACACTGGGGAAAGGGGGAAGGAAGGAGTCATGATAACTCAGTTAAGTACCCTGAAAATGACAACTCAGTTAAACACCCTGGAAATGAAGTAAAAGTTGGTTGATTCTACTTCCCATCTTATAAAACTTCAGAGTGCTAGGATCTCTCAGAGTGAGTATTGCTGCTCATGGAGACTGAGCTGCAGAGGGAGGAAGAAAAGATTGGAATGGGAGCAGTAAAGGCCAAGCTCTCCCAGTGTTCTAAGACTCTGGGAATGGACCCACTATTGCGTATATTCAGTAAACTCATCTTCCTCCCTGTAGCCTATTATTATGGAAAGAGAAAGAAGATCATTAAACCCCCAATTGGGGAAAGCAGCATGGAGAGCGGACATCCAAAACCAGCCAGGAGAAGGAAACGACGGAAATCCATCTTTGTGCAGAAGAAACGGAGATCTTCTGCTGTCGACTTCACAGCGGGCTCGGGGGAGGTAAGAGCACCTTAAAAGTGCTTTCCAACATCAGAAGGTGGTGCGTGCATGGGGGGGATGTTATTTATGTTATGTATGTGTGAATAATTACACACCTGTGTACTATGGTACATGTGGAGGTCAGAGGCCAACTTTTAAAGAGTTGATTCTCTCCTTCCATGCTGGGATCCCAGGGTGACAGGTTTGCACAGCAGGCACTTGTGCCTGCTGAGCCACCTCCCCTGCCCTGTTTGACTGTGTTTTGTTTTGTTTTGTTCTTTTGTGGTGAGGGAGATCAAATCCAGCCTTGTACATGATAGGCAAGCACTCTGTCATTCATCAACCATAGCCCTTGCTGTTTTGAGACAGGATCTCCCTATATAATTCAGACCTGCCTTAAACTTGTGTGTGTGTGTGTGTGTGTGTGTGTGTGTGTGTGTGTGTTCATGCACCTATGTCTGCATGCATATAGAGTCCAAAGGTCAACTCGGGAGCCCTTCAGCACTCTGTCCATCTTGCTTTTTTGTTTTGTTTTGTTTTTGTTCTTGTTAATTGGTTTTGAGATAGGGTCTTTCACTTTTAACTAGAACTTTCCAATTTGGTTAGGCTGACTGGCCAGTGAGCCCCAGGGATCCACCTGTCTGTACCTCCTCATTGGGATTGCAAGCATGGGTCACCATACCCAAGTTTTTCATGTGGCTTCTGGGGACCAAATTGAGGTCCTCATAGTTGCATGACAAGCACTTTATCTACTGAGGTATCTCATCAGCCCCAACCTTTTTGTTTGATTTTGAGACCGTATCTCACAGTATAGCCCAGGTTGACCTTAAATTCACTGTTGTCCTGTTTTGGTTCCTGAGTACTGGGATTCCAGGTGTAGCTCACGGCCCTGGCCGCCATGTGACTGCTTCCCCTGGAAAGCTATAGCCACGCCTTGCTGTAGAATAGAAACAGGGGACAGGAAGAGCTCTCACAGCCTCCATATGTACTCAGAACCATTTTCGTGTGCTCAGCTACTTGGGTAGGAAAGGGCTGCATTAGGGGCATCTTTGGTACCATGTGCTCGGCCTTGGGAGGTGTCCTTGGACAAGCCTTGCTAAAACTTTACTTTGGGAAGGAAAGGGAGCTTGGGTCAGGGCCTGGCTGTATGTCTGTTGGTGCAGGCCACCCTGCTACACCTATTTAGGTCCGTTTCCACCCACCTCACTAAACACCTTCCTCTTTCACTCAGGAAACTGAAGAGGAGGATGCAGACGCCCCAGAGGAGGACACCGCTAGTGAGGAGACCGGCTCTGAGCTCCGGGATGACCAGACAGACACCTCATCTGCTGAGGTACCCTCTGCTCGGCCCCGGAGGGCTGTGACCCTGCGGAACAGTTCGGAGGCTGCTCAGCGGCCTCCAGTAGAGAGAGCCCGAAGGAGTCGCCCAACACCAATCACTGCTTCCGCTGATGAAGGGGACAAAGGCCCACCAGCCAAGCCTGAGGTCCCGGAGGTGAGCTCAGAGAGCGGAGGGGTGTGTGGCCCATTCAGGGACACCCCTTTAAAATATCAGAAACAGCAGTAGGTGTTTCATCAAAATTCCCAAGTCCCAGGGCAAAAGATTGATTTCCCCTCTTGGCAGAGGGGGTCATGAAACATCAGAAAGGATTTCCCAGGGCTGACCTTCATGCCTTCATTTCTAACAGCTTTAACCCCACCAGACCTTCCTGTTAGATGGATGGGTAAGGCTCAGTCCTCTAGGACTAGGATCCAACATTCCATCTCCACATCTATTCCCTCTCTTGCATTCTGCATCCCCTTTCTCCCCTATGGCACACCTCTCTAAAATCAGCATGCTAGACATCTCCTAATCACATAGGTGGTGTGTTAGTAGCTATAAATGTCCTTAGCACCATCATCACAAACGTCAGTGGAAACAGAGCTGCGATGTGCATTTGCATGTGGTTCTCAGTATCTCTCTTCTCTGATCAAAGATGCTTTATCCTTAAGCGGGCCCCCAATTTCCTGAAATAGGGATTCCAGATCTGCTGCCCCTGTGCCTTGTGTGTGTGTGTGCCAGTGTAATGCACATACCTGTGCCTGGAAGTCAGAGGTCAACCTGAAATATCATTCCTCAGGAACCATCCACTTTTTTTTTTTTGAGGCAGGGTCTTTCATTGGCCTGAATCTTGCTTAGTAGGTTAGGCTGGCTGGCCATCCAACCCCCCAAGTCCTCCACTTCTCCAGCACTGGCATTATAAGTATGCACCACCAACGTTTTTTTTTTAATGTGTTCTGGGCATCAAACTCAGGTCCTCGTGCTTGCCTGTCAAGGACTTTGCTGACAGTTATTTCCCCAGCCCCACTGTACTTCTGTTATCAAGTTTTAATCTTTGAAACTGCCCAAGTCATCCTAGGTAGAGAAATCACGAGAGGCAGGCTGCTAGGAAACACCGTAGAGACTGTGTTCCTGTGGCTGTCTCTGTGCTCAGTGAAAGACCAAGAGGTGGTGGCCCTGGTCCAGCACTGCAGCTGAGAGCTGGAGGCTATTAGAAAGGACCTAGCTGATCTTGCAGTGTACAGTGACTATCTCCCGCCCCCCATCCTGCAGGAAACAAAGCAGGAAGAGGAAGAAAGGTTGATCCTTGAAAGCAACCCATTGGAGTGGACTGTCACCGACGTGGTACGGTTCATTAAGCTGACAGACTGCGCACCTCTGGCCAAGATCTTTCAGGAGCAGGTACCGTTGCTTGCTGTGTCATCCATTCATTTTCTGAGGCTCCAGATCTTTATGTGTATGTGTGTGCATGTTTAAGTCTATGTGTGTTCATGTATACACAGTTACATATGTGTGTATACATATATGCATGTCCATATGCAGGTGAGAGGATATCACAGGGTGTTGTTCCTCAAATGCCATCCACTTTCTTTTTGAGACAGATTCTCTCACTGGCTGGCTTGGACTGACTAAGTAGTCTAGACTGATTGGTCAGTGAACCCCGGAGTTCCACTTGTCTCTTCCTCTCAAGTGCTGGGATTATGTGTACCACCATACCCAGCCCTTTTAAATGAATTCTCAGAATCAAACTCAGGTCCCTGTGCTTGTAAGGCAAGTACTTTCCAGACTGAGCTATCTCCCCAGCCCTGAGACTATAGGTCTGAAAGGGACTGTGTATCTTAGCTGACTTCCTCATGATTTACCAGCTAAGGAGTAAAGTTCCAGGTGCCCTGTATTCTACAAGCTGTAGTTGACGCCTCTGAGTGGGCCCACCCAGGTCTCTGAGCTGGTGTGGTGCACCTGGCTTGCTACAAGGACCCTGACACCACCTGGCAGGGACAGGAAGGCCCCTGTTACTGCCAGATGAGGAGTGAGCATCCAGGCTCCACCCCCAGTCCGCACTGATTCCAACTTGGGGAGATTGTGCTTTATTGATCTGTAGGGGTAAAAATCTGAGCAGCCTGCCTCATCTCAGATGCCACCTTGATGGGAGCTTAACGTGCCTGGTCACAGCCTGATTGGGCTGGAGGTCAAGGGCTTCTTGCTGGACGTTACCTGCTTGCTAGATCTTAACTGACACGGACATTGCTAAGTCATGCCTCCCAGTGGTGTTTGGCTACAGTAGGGCCCTTGACTTTCATGTGTCTTGCTGAGCCCCTCTTTGACTACAGCAGCTGGCTTGGATGGGTCCTGTGGTCAGTGCCTATGGGCAAATCTGGGTTTCCTGCTGCTTCGGCTCTAAGCTTTGAATATGAGGCATGCAGATCAACAAGCCCTAAAATGAGCAGAGAACTCAGCATTGTAATTCACTCATGTCCTGAAGACCCTCCCCAGCTGCTCTGTTTACTTCTCTCTACCTCTGAGAGACTTCTATTTAGTATATGTCCAACACTTCTAGTTCTGCTGGTAGGAGAGTCAAGGGAAACGTGCCTGCTCGGCCTTTCTGAAGTGGAAGTCCTCTGTCCATGAGTTCTATTTCATGCTGTTTTCGTTACTGTTTTCTTACCTTCTTTCCTTTTTTCATCATGAAAGAGTTTAAAATGTACGGTATTGGAGCTTGGGGGATGGCTCAGCAGATAAAGCACTTTGCTGTACAAACATAGGGACCCAAATTTGAACCTCCCATGTAACACTGAACATGGTATGACATCTGTAATCCTAGTGCCGTTATGGTGAGATGGCAGGCAGGCCAACTAGCCTGGCATTCACAGCAGAGAAAGAGAGACTCATTCTCAAGGTAGAAGGCGAGGCCTTACCTCCAAGTGTGTCCTCTAACCCTCTAAGGCACACACGTCGACACACACACACACACACACACACATATCCTGTGGTTTTAAGATAAACAAATGTTAAAACCATTGATGTAATCTGTACCTTAAAGGAGTTTTGTAATCCAGGAGTTGAAATGACTGTAGTCAACATGAGGTAATGATATGGCATCAGAAAGAAGAAAGTTTTCATTTATGATCTCCATTAAATTAATATGAAAACAAATGGCTATTATGCGCAGATCCCACATGGCACTGACTTTTTCTAAAAAGTTTGAGCTTGTGGTTCCTGTTCTACTTTGCCTACTTTGTTGGTTGGAATTTGGGGGTGGGAGAGATGACTCAGCAGTTAAGAGTGCTTGCTGCTCTTGCCGAGGACCATAGTTCTGTTTCTAGTACCCGTGTCCGGCAGCTAACAATTGCCTGTAACTCTAGCCTTTTTGGGTACCTTGATGCACATGCACACGCATGCGCACACATGTGCACACACACACACAATTAAAAATAAATTAAAAAAATCTTTAAAGGCCTGAAGAGATGGCTCAGCAGTTAAGAGTCTTTACTGCTCCCCAAAGGACCCAGATTCAATGCCCAGCAGTCATATGGCAGCCTACACTGCCTCTGACTTCAGTTCCAGGGGCGCCAATACCCACTTCTGGCCTCTGCAGGCTTCTATATGTAAATGGGGCACATAAACTCATGAAGGCAAACACACATACACACAAAAATGAATGAATAAATTTTTAAGTTGTTGAAATATCTTGTGATGTCCCACGGAGTCAATATCTGTCTTTTAAGACCTCATATTTTAAAGGAAATACCTTTTTCCATGTATTTGATTAAAGATCTATCTAGTCTGTTTTAGATACAGCAAGTCCATAGTCTAGGATGACAAATTTTCCAACAGAAAAACAGAAAAAATCTCTCATTTCCCATTCACGCAGGGAATTTTCCAACTTTTCTTCTAAGTCAATGCAGTAATAGGTTGTAAATAGCAAATTAATATGGTCCAAGTCCTCTACCCCAACCTTCCAGAGAGCAATTTTCAGTATCCAACTCTCCCGGACCTGTCCAGAGATGCCCAGGAGGTGAAATGATTCATCTAATTCACCCTGGAATGTTCTGCAGATACCGGATAAGTTCACGTAGAAGTAATGAACAGGAGTAGACACAAGGCCCCACCTTGGCCTTCTGACGTTCGGAGCTCTTCCTCTCTGGGTCCATTGAAAGACAGGCAAGGAGAAATACTTTCTGCCCTAATGAACTGGGGTGATGACCTGTCCCTTTTTCATAACACACAAACAGGAAAAGTGGACTGGCCTGTCATGTAACTCAGGTAACATGAGTCTCATGGCTGAACTACATCTGCATCTTGAAAACGAAGTAAGCAATGGGGAGAAAACCCAAGTAAAGTTCTGCCTGGTGCAAGTGTTTTCCAAGTTTGGTGCTAATTCACTGTGGTCCAGGCTAAAGCAAATAAACAAAAACTGTTATATTCAAATACATGACAAATGCTGTCTGTATAGCTTCAATATGTCACTGTGTATGTGTTGGTTCATATGTACATTCAACATGTACCAATTAAGCACCTGCTGCATGCCTTATAATATCTGAAATATGGTTAGGAAATATGGCATTCTATATAAAATCTAAAGTTTTATTTTTGGCTTATTGTATTTTAGGCTCAAATGCCCCATTTTAATCTAAGAAACCTTTTTTTTTTCTATTGAGCCAGAACAAAGGATAGATTTTGTCACTTCTAGATGTTAATTTTTGTGGGAACTCAAGACCATTTGTAGCATAAAAGGTTATGTGGTTAGTAGGTGCTTGATACTTGGTGCAAATTGGATGATGGGGGGGGTAAGCTAATGCTACTAATATTAAGTCCTACTTTATGGAACTGCTAAGACTAGTTTCTAGAAGTACTTCAGAACAATTCAAGGAAATGAATATTGCTGACACATTCCCACTGAGGACTCAAACAGTGGGCAAAGGCTTCCTCCAGCCACCTCCTCTAACATTAGTTAAAAGCTTTGTTTTTCATTTGGACTTTAAGTAGGCTTTAATGGATGAGCCTTGTTCCCATTTAATTTTGCATTTCACATCAGGAAATTTTACCCATTATAATAAAAAAAGCACTGCCTGCTGTGTTGTCCAAAGTGTGTGGATACCTGAATCCTTTCCTGTTCCATTAGACGGTTAATGACCTCCTTGTATTACTTTGTTCTATTGTCTTTTTGCCCAAACGCCACAGCTTTAATTGGGTGAGGACTCCTTTGGGTCACTGTCAGAATCTTCTGAGCTGTCAGATGAACTAGGCATCTAGAGGTGTTGCTCACCAGCCTGTACACGAGATCACAGTGCACAGAATGGTGGTAGCTGGGTGCATTCATGCCCCTGGATTAGGAACTCAGAGTTCAGTTGCATCTGAACACCAGGAGCAATTGCAGAAATTACAAACTTCCCATTACCAGCATATGTGCCTTTGACTTCTGACATGAGGCGACACTTTAATAAAAATCTATACTCTATAGTTTCTTCCTGTGAATATCTACATGACACAGTAGGAGTCCAAGCATCTGTAATTTTGTTGGAAATGCACAGCATTGCATCTGAACAACTCTGTTTGTTCACCTGTCGCTTACCGGTCTGCTTACATGAGAAGCAGACTGCCTGGATCAGTGATTTACTGTATGAAAACATCTCGGGATCACGGACAGCTTTAGCTCTGTGTGAAAAGCCTCCTCGTCTTCCTAACTCTGACTGATATCTATGTGTTAGTCCATTTTTCATTACGGTTCAAAGGGGAACGTTTCATCTTGACTCATGGTTCAGAGCTTTCAGTCTTTGGTTGTGTAGCTCTGTTGTTTGCTGACTTGTGAACAGAGTCCTGGTGGAGCAGAGCCTCTCACTTCGTGGTGACAGAAAGCAGAACCAGAAGCAGGAAGGAGCCTGGAGCAAGGTCTATCTTTCCTGGGAATGTTATCAGTGGCCTTCTTCCACTAAGTACTTCCAATAGGACCATAATATTTTGAATCCAACAGGGATGAATCTCTTGGTTAAGTCAGAGTCCTCAAGATCCATTCATTGCCCAAAAAGCCCATCAGCTTGGCCACTAAGCATTTAACAAGCCACAACAACCCTGATACATTCCTTAAGGAACTATCATATCCTATACAAAACTCTATCAAAACAAGTATAAAGATTCCATGTCCTAAGTATAACTTTTGTGTTGTATGTCATTTTTTATATTATGTCATATTTTATTTCTTTAAAATTGTTGTCCAGGTATGGTGAGTCCATTTAATTTTCATTTGTAGATCTTACCAGAGTCCATCTCCTTAAAATTAGTAGTCAATGATGATTCTGTTTGATATAAGTGACCTACCAGCATTTCTGAATGATATACAAGCATATTTAGGAAAATTAGACCATCTGTGAGGTCTGGTATAAACTACAAGGAAAAAAGCAAACCTTTTGCAAACTTAACCGAAGGTCCCATCTGAGAAAGGTGGTGTAGTAACCCCTCATTCTCTCACAGGGTTCAGTGTCATGACCGTGTTCGCTTTTGCCCGGTTTTGTTCCAGTCTGCCCTTTTATCCTTCCCACCCCATTGTGAGAAGCAGTGCGTGCTGGCTACATGCAGTCTGTACCAGACAGGGCCCATCATTAGGGTGAGCCTAGGGTCAGTCACATTAGTCAGCAGCAGTTCCTGAAGGGCCACCAGTCTTCCCTGAGAGTAACTCTGTGAGACTGCCAAACCGAGCTCCTTTGAGCAGGCAGTGTGGAAACCAGGCCTGATTGAGGATCAGCATGGCCATCTCGAAATGCTAACACTGAGATTGCATTTTCCACCATTTAACGGGGATGGAAAATGAGTAGAGAACCGATATGTGGTCGTCATAGGCTCTCCAGTGGTCCAAACAATGGACAGACTACATTTTAAGTACTTCCTGCTTTTAAGTCTCAAGGCTACTTTTGTGGTGAATTTTTCCCAGTTAAAAAGGAGGGTGAAGAATTTCCCATTAATCAGGTTGCTTGGCTTTTACTCTGCCTGCACACATCTTCCTGCAAATAGGGTTTCATTCAGCTTGTGTTCCTAGTTCATAGTCTAAGACAGACCTAGATAAACCAGCTCTTAGTAACAGCAGTTCAAAGTCATGGCCTCCATCTGCCTCGGTTCCACATTGCCAAGCTTGAAATTCACACCAGAGAGTGTGAAGTGTGCTTCCAGCTTGAATCCCCCAAACTGAGAACCCTTTCATCTTTGCTGCTGGCTGAGCAAGAAGTGGGGTGGGAAGTTCTTTCCTGTTTGCACTTCTTGTTGGGGAAGTCCAAGGACAGGATAAAAGGCCATGCACCGGGGCTGGCGCAGAAGGGCATCTGAACTGACATCTGTGTGTGGCATCTGTGTGTGGAGGGCACAGGTCAACACTGAATATCTTCCTCAATCATTCTTCACCTTATGTTTTTAAATTTTTTCAATGATCTTATTTCTCCATTATGTGTGTGTGTGTATGTTTGTTAGCACGTATGTGTAAGTGCAAGTGCCCACAGAGGCCAGAAGAGGGCATCAGATTCTGTAGCTGGACTTACAGGTGGTTGTGAACTGCCCAACGTGGGTGCTGGGAACCAAATTCTAGTCCTCTGCAAGAGGAGCTGAGCTATCTCTCCAGTCTCCCCCCTTATTTTTTGAGACAGAGTCTCTCACTGAATCTGGAGCTCTCTTACTGGCCTAGACTGACTGGTCAACATGCTCCAGAGATCCTACTAGCTGTTCCTTCGTAGTGCTGAGATTACAGGCATGTGCTCTGCACCTAGCCTTAGCTTGGAGCCTGTGGATCTGAACTCAGGTTCTTATCTGTTCCATTCATTTGTACCCACCAGAGAAGACGTGAATATACCACAGGACCTAAAATAGTTTTGTTGGGGGGCAGTTGGGAGATGGGTCAGTGGGTAAAGCACTGACTTTTTGGGCTTGATGGCTTGAGTTTGGATTCTCCAGAACCCCTGTAAAAAGCCAGACACAGTAGTACACATGCATCTATAATCCCAGCACCCCTAGCAACTGAGATATGGAAGGCAAAGACTAGACAATCAAGCTTGTGGGGCAGCTAGACTGGCATGTGTAGCAGTGAACATGAGAAACCCTGTCTCAAACAAGGTGGGAGGCAAGGAGCACCGACACCTGGGCTTGTCCTCTGACCTCCACATATACACAGGTCACTGCACACTCACTCAAACATACACAGACTATACACACACATACATATTATTAACACAGAGACTTGAAAGTCATCAAACCAAGCTGGATCTCTGACAACACTCTCCCAAATTAAATGCAATAGGAACAGCCTCTAGGAAAAAGCTTGACATGACAAATGCCATGGATACCCTGTCTTCCATGTATGCCCTCCCCCTCATCTAAAGTGGCTTTATTTTCTGGCAGGACATCGATGGACAGGCTCTCCTACTGCTGACCCTTCCGACAGTGCAGGAGTGCATGGAGCTGAAGCTGGGACCCGCTATCAAGCTGTGCCATCAGATCGAGAGAGTGAAAGTGGCTTTCTATGCCCAGTATGCCAACTAACTCTACCTTCTCGGGAAGTGGATCATGATTCTGGTGATGCTGTGTTTGTGAAGGTTTTTAGGATTGAGATTTTGATTTTTGTGGGCTAGGAAAAGTGGTACATTCAGTGAAGATTACCCACAGGCCCAAAGCCCAAGACCTCCTTCAAGCACCGTGGTTTGATGGTTCCATGTTTTGAAAGCACACAGAGGGACCACAGCAGTAGCTGCTGGGAAGTGTAATTAAAGTTCTGCATCAAACCCTCTTGGGATCTGGAGTTGCTTCTTAATCTCTGTGTTTTGCTTTTCTCCCACTTAAACCACACAACTTCCTGCAAGCAAGATTTCCTACAGTGAGGTCTGTGTTCATGGAGAACTGAGATGAACACACTTGATGTGTTCTCGATTGTGACCAAGGAGAATACCTGACCCCTTGCTACTAGTTTTTGCTACTCACTCAGGCACATTTATAGATGCATCTCTCCTCTCTGTACAGTGATGGTGGTTTAAAGTCTTGAGCTATCCACGCAGCTTGATCCTAACAGCAACTCCTTCTCTGACACAGCTGTGGGCTCTGTTTCGGAATGTTAATATAAATAATACAAAACGAAATACTAAGCTCCATCCTCTGTCAGAGGTGCCTTTTTGCTCATAGTAGGGAGACTATTCTTTCATGATCCGAGCCTAGAACCTCTGTGGAGGCAAGCTCCCTCCACAGTTGCCTATAGAACCATATCATCACGTAGTTCTGAGTTCACTGTGAGCAGGTCAGAAAGTGGCTACTCTAGGGAAGTGTCAAATTCTGTATTGAAGAAAAAGCTTTCAGAGGAGGGCAAACAGGGAGAAGAGATTTAAGGAAAATGTTTTGTGGGCTAGTTATATCTACCAAGAACATAATCAGCACAGCTGGGCCCTGCAAACAAGTTCCTCTGAGCTTTTCTTCTGCTCGGTTCCACCCCTACTTGCCATGCATAGAGCAAGCAGGCAGAAGAAGCAGCAGCCCCTGGCATGACATAACAGTGAATACTGGATCTGGACCCAACTGGTTCTCATCCTGTTTGTTAATGATCAACTCTATGTCCTTGGGTGACGTCCCACCTCTATGACCTCAGTTCAAACTGAAGGACAAGTTTGGACACTTAGCAATGTGACAACAAGTATGCCATCCCCCTTCCGTCCCCCTCACTCCTGCTGGAAAGGAATCGTCTAGATTGACCCAATTGGGAAAAAGTGTGGCCACAGAATTCCTGTATTTCACCCTAGCTTTGGAGTTGCTTATGAAGTTTCAGGGACAATTTTGGTAAATTATGAGGAATTTTTAGAGAAATCAATGACTGAAAACTGGCTGACCTTTTATACCCAGCGCTTTGTGCTTCCTCATGAGTGATTCAACATGCTCTTACAAACCCAAATGGGAATATGGTATATTCTGATTGGTGGTCACCTCCATGCCTTTTAAAGCTTACACAAGGAAACTAAACCTTTATTTTGTTTAAAAATGGACCTTCACTTTGAGGCTTAACTTCACACTTTTATGAGTTTTATTGTTTTGCTTTGTGGTTTTTCATGTTTTGCCATAATTATGTTGATCTTTTCTATTTGACTAGAGTTTCAACAGTTCTGGTAACGTAGTGTCATGGGCCGGTGGCTGCTTGTATTTTGGCAACATTTTAAGGTGTGATGATCTGTCAGGTTTTGAAAACTATGACAACTCATGCTGACCCTTAACATTCTGCAATTGCTGTGGATGGAAATAGAAAGCAAATTCGTTGTGGTTAGGGTTCTTTAGTTCTAGCTGAAGCTGGTTTTCTACATCAAGCTGTAGACATCTGTTGAATGGATCTGCCTGTGCACCTCTAATGGGTGGTGTCCTGCATGGAGCTATGTGTGATGTGTGTGGTTGGCTTTGCAGCTGGGTTCCTCTCTTCTAAGCTACAGGTTACAGGTTGAACCTTCTTCAATTTCCCAGCCCTGCTCTCTCAGCCACATGCTTTTGGCTGTAAGTGTTCAGTCCTGTGGAGTCACACTCTAGCTCATGGTTGGAAAGGTCAGCCACTTCAAGACTGGTGGCGTTTTCCCTGAGTTGACTCCTTTTTGATCCTTTGCTGTGGCCATTGCAAACTGAGCTCTTTCTATTGCATTGAAACCAAGATGAGGCTATGACAGAAATGCAATACAACAGTGTACTTTCAGAACAAATGTCACCTTCTCGTGCCATTTCCAGTAAGAGCAAAGAGGAGGAGGAGGGGCTGCATCAGAACAAGGTGATTGTTCTGGGAGTCTCCCGAGCCCACACACTGAGATGGAAGGGTGCTCAACGGGAAACCCAGGCAGGATATATGGCCACCACTGATGGGAAAACCTTGCTTCCTGTGGAAACAAATGTTCAAGCCTTGCCTTATCCTCCGGCTCTGAAGTTTGACTTGAGTCTCTTTGTATGGTGCACTGGCCATTTCAGCCTCACTCAGAATCTTCAGCTTTGAAAGCACATAACAAGGGAGAAATGGCAGAATCCACACCAAAAGAACAGCTGGTCCTGGGCCACCCTCATAGCCGCTGTGGGTGTGCTGTCCCCCAGCCCCCTATAAAGACTTGAGAAATATTTAAGGACCAGGGAGGGCCCTTTTCCTCTGAAGGGTATGAGAGGCCCCTCAGCTTTGATTCCCTGGGGATTTCCACCATGATGCACTCTTCATGTGAGCAGCAATTTTGTTACTGGATTGTAAAGTGGGTTTTGTTTCTATCTAGACTCACCTCCCACCAGCTTCTGTCTTAAACACACAGCTGATTTCCAAGGAACATTTTGCTCTTGTAGATCTTAAACATATACCCCAATACCACCACAGCCTGTATACCAAAAATATCACAGTCTACCCTCAAATGATGCTCTCACTCCATGCCTTTCCTGGTTGGTATCTTCTCTTATCTCTCTATTCACCTTCTGGAACCAACATCCTCTCCTTTATGCACCTGAGCCTTCACATCACCCATTGCTTCCTGTAACCAGCCAAGCAGACACCTCGCAGTCTGAGCCATGTAACCTGAGGCATGGAAGTGCCACCTCAGCTTAAATAATGAGAGTCCATCAGTCCGTTACTTACTGCCACCTAAAATGTAGGAAGCTTGTTTCAACCCCTAACATGACTGCATTTAGACTGTGTTGTAAAGATATCCTGTCCACAAAATAAAACATACTCCGAACAAGGCTGGGTACTATAGGCATTATAGATCTTTGCTATTCAGCAATGGTGTCCTTCACAGAGTTCCACAGCATGGAGAACTCGTCTGTCACTTTGAAAATTAGATCCTTTGATCAGAGCTTGAGTCACAGACAGCATTTCAGCTGTACAGCTATTTGAGCTCCTAACCCTTGTTTGATCGCACTCAAACGATCTCCTTCCGCGTTTGCTTTCGTTTGTTCCTCAATAAATTAAAATGATCCAAACCTTAACACTGCCACATCTGACCTTTACTGCCACCTCTAGAATGTTCCTTTTGATCAGCCCTTTGAAGATGAGTCTTTTCTAAACTATCTCGTAGAATCTTGAGTGTTGTATACAGCAAATACTGGGTCTGTCTTCTGTCTTATACCAGACACCACTTTCTGAGAGCTGTCACCCCTTAGTTTTGGAAGCACTTGGCTTTTCATATTTATTTTGTAGAACACCCATTGATATTTATTTCTGTATATAGAACTAGAACAGAAAACAGTAGTAAGATCTTTGTTGTGACTGGATATTGCTGCTTTTGGGGTTAAGATAGTGAATCTAGGCTCTGATTCCTCTTTGTTCTGTTTTTAGAAAGCTGTGATTGGGTGTGCAATTATTTGAAAGGAGAAAGTTGTAAATTAAGTTATCTGTAGCTTTTAAGGAAGAAATCTTTGGAGACATACGCTGGCTGTGTCTCTATGGTGCAATAATTAAGTAACAAGGGAGGTTACCATGGCAACCATACAACCTAAAGCTCCTCTTGTTCACTATTTCTTTCTGTTCACAAATTTTCTAAAAAGTATTCACTTTAACTTGGTTGACTTTTTAAGTTTATTAATTCACAAAGCTTTTATCACTAGGGTGATTTACAGGTATCCAAAACATGATCTCACAAAATCAGATTTTGCTATTTGTGACCTACGTGATTTACCTAAAAAAACTGTAATTGCAGTCCTACCTTGCCTCCTGGGGTTTTGGTTAAAAGCCTTTGTGGTTTAAATGATGAATAATGACTCCATTTCCTGATATAGAGACTTTTTTTTTTTTTCAGTGGCCAGGACTTAGCACCAGTGAGGATGTAGGTCATATCACAGAACCAAGGCAGAGCAGTACTTCAGGCAGGCCAAAGGGGTACACTGAAGAAAGTTCTAGAATAGTCTTTTCCTGAAAATTACCTTCGGATGGAAATTTGAAAGGAAGGGTTTTTCTTTAGTAATAGAAAAATTAATCATCTCGCCTGTTGTTCAAAATGGAAGCTAGCATGATCTCTGTTGATCTCTGTGAATAGAGAAGACCCTGTTATGGATGGTGAAAGCTCTTTAACTTTCACATTCTACTTTGAAGAGTTTGTATTGAAATCTGATTCATCTTGTGTGTGTTTTGGTGCATAAAAGACAAATAAACAGTGTCTTTTCTTTTGAAATTTGAAGGACAAAGGGCATGCTCTTAGTTTGCTGTAAGATTAAATTCTGTATATATGTTTCCATGTACATAAATGAAAATCTATATCAGAGTTATATTTTAATTTTTATTCTAATTGAAAAAACCCTTTTTACTTGAAAACATGGTAAGCCACATTGTTAATAAAGTAAAAATGAATTCTACGGTGGTCTTTGTGTCTTTGTATCGAAGGTAATTGAATTGTGTTTAAGGTTTGCTTTAGTGTTATTTCTTCTCAGGTTTTGGTTCTGTTTTTGCACTAAACAAAGGTATTTGTTGTTAAGTTGTTAAGAACCACAAAGTCCCTGTGACCTTTCAAAGTCACTCTGGAGTGTTACTCAAGCAATTTGTATCTATTATTTTTGTTTCTAAAGCAGTACTGTGGCTCAGTTGGTAAAATGCTTTTGCCCTTCAAACACAAGGATCTGAGTGAAACACTCAGAGCCCAGATAAAAATAACTGGCCCCAGTGATGCATACGTGTAATCCCAGTGCTGAGGAGGCAGAGAAAGGTCGATCTTTGGGGCTCTCTAGTCAACCTGTGTAGCCTACTTCCAAGGAGGTGGAGTCTTCCTGAGAGTGACACCAGAGATTGTCTTCTGGCCTTCACATTAAGT